AAACCCTTTCCTCAACATAAAAAAAAGAAAAAGAAAAAATAAAAAAGAAACAAAATAAACAAACAAAAACATTTCATAGTTTAAGAGGCATGGAAGATACAATTACGGATCATGAACTAGAAAGACGAATCGTTAAAAGCAGCGAGCATATCCTATCCGTAGTCAGAGAAGGAGCCGTAAAGACAGGAGAGTTATTAGAGGGATGCAACGTTTCAAGCTTTGAAGCAGAAAGAAAGGGACATGAGTCAATGAATGCTAGACAGCTTCTAGAAGGTACAAAGCCAAGAAACCAGATTCCAGCCTGAAGGCTCTAAAACCTAATACAGATTGCTGACAACTTGATGAGATCAGTGTTGTACTCCGGACATAAGAGTATGCTATTAAAGTGGTCTTGTTTAAGTCACTATGTTAGTGTCAGTTTATTACAACAACAATATAAAAATAGTACAAAGGGAACATATGCCAACTCCTAGTGAGCAAAATTATATACAAGTACTTAATGAGGATAGAGGGCCATTATATGATGTAAAGTATTATAGATGGTTAAAGGTAAACAGATTCTACTTCAACAACCAATTGTAAGTCATGAGCTATTTTTAAAAATAAGTTGTATTATAAAATCATTACTTATCAAAAGCAGAAAGAATAGAAAACACTGTTTATATTTATAGAACATTCACTCTGGAATACACTTACAAATATTTTATTAAATCATTCATTTATTTATTTAACCATAAAAAGAAGTTATTATTACCATTCTGTTTTAAGGTGACACAGTCAAAAAACTTTCCTAAGATCACAAAGTTTTATAAGAGACATGGGAAAGATTTAAGTGCTCTAATTCCACAATTCATACTTCAAACCACTAGCTATGTTTCTTTAACAATTTAAACAAAATTATGATAATAAAGTAACTATATATAAATATATATAAATATATATACATATATTCTCTAAAATTCACTTCATAAACTTTTAGACTTAAGCAACTGAACATACTAAGTATTCTGTATCATTCTTCCCAATTTATTTATGGGCCAATTACTTACTGTCTCTTGTGACAATAGACACATAGAGAAAGAGAAATAGAGTTTATAGATTAGTGATGACACAAAAGAGTAAATAATTTACAGTATGACAAAATAATATAAATATATGTTAATATATTTTAAATAAAATAAACTCAAGCAAATACCACCTCTATGGTCTTATTCGCAAACGAATTCCCAATTTATATGAGGAAATAACATGTATAAATAAATACTTGCTTGACATCTTACACACTATACTACCAGCATGTAACTCATGCCAGGAGGAGGAGAAATGCTTTATACTTGGGAGAATTGACAAAGGGAGCAGCACTTCATTATTCAAAGAAGGCGGGGTTTATGGAGTTTAGTATTTTAGAATGACTAATCTCGCAAACAAGGAAGAGTACATTTGGTATGTGATAAAGCGAAAGGCCATCAGCATGGTAGGACACATCTGAAAGTATGGGGACAAAAATATAGCAAAGCAGGTAAATAGTCACCGAGGAAGGGCGTTTTTAAAAAGTGGTATTAGAAGGCACCAGGACCCCAAAGTGCCATTACCCCTTCAGAGTCTTTTAGGAAACAGACCTTCAGGGACAGCAGACCATAAAGGCGATAAGTTATAGTGGATGTTGTTTAAACAGCAGGCAAGAAATGGTCAAAACAGTATCTGTTGTCCTAAAGAATTTGGGCATTAGCTAAGGGGCAACTAGAGTCTGAAAAGAGTCCCAAGTGCCACAACCTGGGAATATGTTACTTTACCATGATAAAAGGGACTTTGTTAACGTGATTAAAGTCACAGACTTGACAATGAGAGGCAACATAATCAAAGGGATTTTTCAAAAAACAGTGCTTTGAGATGTAAGGATGGAAAAGAGAGAAGAACAGAGAAGCAGAGGGTGTCATCCCCTTGATGCTAAATAGAAGATGGAGGAAGACAGCTTCAACATGGACATTGTGGGTGGTCTCCAGAACATTCCAACACTCTTCTGCTCACAACAGTCAAGGAGCAAAAAAGAAAAGAGAGGATAAAAGAAACCTCAACCTGACTCCAGCAAAAGGCTAAATTTGGCAAACAATTAAACCTTTAATGAAGAAAAGCTCCAGATTCCTTCATGGAGCCTCCAGAGAAAAAGTAGGGCCTGTACACACCTTGAGTATAGTCCACTGAGGCCCATATGGAAATATAAAATAAAAAAAAATAAGGGTTGTTTTGAGGTGCTAACTTTGTGGTAATTCATTACAGCAGCAATAGTAAAATAACAAGATTGTAAGATCAACTTTTTCTTTAAAAACCCAATCATATTGATTTAAGAATAATGTATTATGCTAATATAAATTTAACTTCTTAAAGTCAGCAATTTTAAAATATGTTAGAGGCATAAATCAATGTGTTCTTAACATTTTATTGTTAAATTCTTTAGAATCTAAAAGTCACTAAAAGGCAAAAGGAGGATATAAGTTGCAATTATAATTTAATATTTTCATTGTACTTAAAGGTAAAAGAATAATCAATTTTTCTTCTTTAAACTCTCATGGTAAATGACTGAATTATATTAATTTGTTCATACTTTTTAAAAGACCACAGTCAAGTCTTAACAAAACTCTTTCTTAGAACATCTGTATGAATAAATTCTTGGCTTAAAATATTAATGTATTAATTTACAAAAGCAAAACCCACTATGCCTTGCTTGTTATCTAAAGAGTCACTGACTCAATCCTTATTAGCTCCAAGAAATAAAGGCCATGTCTGTCTACTCTTTGACTTGTATTCTCATTAACACTGTCTAGCAATATCCCTGGCCCAGGCTTTTGTTCAATAAGTGAATGGATATGCTTTTAAGGCAAGTTTTAAAATACTGGAAACAAAGTTTCTGGAACTACTAGCTCACTGTAAAAACAATGTAAGAAGTACCCATACTGAGAATAAACCCCGACATTATTTTAAATATTTTGTGCAAAAATTTAAATGTTTTGCTTACTTCCTGTATTCTTAAGAGTCATCTAACATAATTCAAATTTCCTGTGAAGTTGGGATATTTATTATTAAGATATTGTGATGTTCATTAACCTATTAAAACTCTTTGAACTGAAGAGGGTTACTGAAAATGTCTTCTCTACCCATTTTCGTCAATGTTTGTGTGTGTGTATGTGTTTATATGTAATTGGTTAGTGTGTGTATGTGTGTATGCACACATGTGTTTATACGAGACAATCATTGTGAAAAACTCAAGAGGAGGTGCTCTTTCTACCATGTGAGTCTCTGGGATCCATTTTGACCCTCCTGCTTGCCAGAAAGTACCTTCAAGTTTCTGAACCCTCTCCCTGTCCCCCTCTTTTTTAATTTCACCTTTATCCTTCTCATAAAAATCAAGTGAAACCAGGCAGGATTTAACATACAGCTGTCATCTTAGCACTTAGCTGAGACCAAACTGCTGTTGAGGCCAACCATGGCTACACTGGAAAAAACAGCTTGCAAAGGAAACAAAAATTAAGTGAATCACTGTAGCCTACCTAAGAAGGGCAAGATGGGCATCTTCATACACTACCAAGTCAACACTGTCCAACAGAACTATAACGGGAACTATATTATGTAATTTTAAAAATCACATAATATAATGGAACACTTTCAATATAATCATCAATACCTAAAATTGATGAGCTTTTTGTATCCCGTTTTGATATGTCTTAGAATCATGCCCATACCTTACAGAGCAGTCTGTATTTTAAACTAGTCACAAGAAGCTAGTGGCCACCATGGGGTTCATAGGCTGCATCTCAAGATACTTTCCTCCTGCCCCTATCTGAACTCCACATCCTACCAACCTGTAATTCCTACTGTATCATCTACATTGTTGGGTAACTTGGTAGAAAAAAGGAGTTTGTTTCAAGTCTGTCTTCTCTCTTCTCCAGCCTATTTTGCTCCCAAGATTTCCTTAATGAACAGAAGTTACACCAGGTGTTAAGTGACAGCAAACTGTCCTTATAAATAAACCAATACTGTACGGAGTGAATGGTACCGGGGTTTCTTACTCCTTTCTCCTTTACTTTGTCCATGTTTCACACTTTGAATAAGAATTCCGTTGCACAGAGTAATTCCAGAAATAAAATACAAGAAGAGGGTTTGCGCTGGAGGAAGAATCGTATTCTTGTACCACAACCCCCAACAGCCTGAGTGGAGTTGGTGTAGGGTGGGTGCGGGGTTGCAAGCATTGAAAGGGCCATAAGGGTTCCTCTGATTAGGGCTCTACTTGACTTCCTAAGAACCTTCCAACCAAGCCACCGGTCAAGGTCATTCCCGCTCCTGGTCGCCGGGGTTGCACCCCACACGGCGGGCGGCTTGCAGCCCCTGCTCAGAGGAGCTACCTGATGGGGGGGGGGGCAGGAGGAGAGGACGTTCTCCTCACAAGGTCAACCCTCGGCTCTCCGGTGCGCAGGCGCCCGACCACCACCCGGCGGCGCTTGTCGGGCGGCCCAGAGCACGCCCGCAGAGCCCAGGCGTCCCGCCGGGCCTCAACACGGAAGCCTCTTCACACCAGGCCGCGACCCCGTGCTGACCGCTTCGTGACTCTTCTGCCAAACAGACGCGGCTTAGCCGACCAATCCCAAAGCGAGGACCGTCCTCTTCGGCTACTCGGCCGTTCGGTCCTTCGGCCCTTCGGCTCCTCGGCTCCTCGGCTCCTCGGCATTTTCCGTGGCCGGGCCCACGCCGGCTCCTCTCAGACCCGGGAAGCCGGTTTCGGCTCGGTGTGGTTTCCCGAGTGTCTCTTCTTCAGCCACTTCCGGGTCCTCCGTCGTTCCGGAAGCCCGCGAATCCCGGAAGCGGGGCTGCCGCAGATTCGGCTGGGCAAAGCTCAGCTTGCCCGAGAATGTTTGAGGAAAGGTTCCGCAGACCCCGCAGGTCAGTGTCTGCCCGGAGCGCAGCATCGCGGCCCGGCCTGCAGTCTCGGAGGACGGCCATGCGACGCTCGCCTGCCTGGGCTGCAGGCCGCTGTGCCTCCTGTCTCTCTGGAAGGAGCCAGTGTGTCTCTTGGTTTCCGGAAAGGCAATAAAACAAATGCAGACTCATAGTTTTTCCCCTGGTGTAGCGCTGTCACACAAACAGCGGCACTGCTAGGAGCGAGCTACTGCATTCCCCGACGCGACTTTTCAGACAGCCCCGAAATCACCTCCTCGCCCTAGTACCTTGGCTTCTTAAACTCAGATTTAAACATCTCTCGGGGTTTATAATCAGAATGTACATGAAAAAGATTTTTTATTTCAGTGTGTTGGAGTTTCGACCCTTTTGAGAGCCCATTCACTTAAACTCATTTTTTGGTATCTGTGCGCAGAGGTATGAAAGGTTTTCTTATGAAATAGCTTGTGGAATGTATTGAAATTCATTGGTTTGTTAAAAGGCATGTGATAATCATTTCTGTTTTTCTTTTGGGATCCTTAAAAGTCGTTGGCTCACTAATTTATTTACGGGCCATTTTCCACACACCAGATACTTAGCAAAAAGATTTTTCACGGATTGAAAAATTTCCAATCTATCACCTTCAAATATTTTATGGCACCCTTTGCCAGCTTTTCATGTTGACAATTTTTTGTAATTATGGGATGACTAAGAGCCCCAACCCCAACCCTCCTTACCAGTTTGTAGTCAAAACACCTTCCAGGAATGTGTGGCCTTTAGATAAACCTGAACAGAATGAATTTGAAGTGGCTGACTTTTCTTTTTTCTTTCTTTTTACTGACTTGATCTCTTTTGTATTACCAATTACTTGTATCCAGAACGATTACAGTTGAAAGACCATGAGCCAGGGGATTTGAAAAAGGAGTCAGCAGAATTACTTAGAAAAAAAGAACCTCATTTTTTTTTCTTTAAAAAGTAAAATAACAGAACATAATAGACCACTAAAATGAAAAGAATTAGGTTCTAGTCCTGATTATAGTTTGCCCCTGCCCAATTTTACCTTTTGGCCTAATTCTCCTCTTTAGTAATTAGAGGTAGCACTCAATCTGTGGTTTGAAAATTGTTCCATAAAAGAACTTTTGTAGAAATTTCCTGGAGCCATGCAGAGGAGAGACAAAGCAAGCCGACTGTCAGCTGTAGTTTAACAGGCACAGCTATTTATGTCTCCTTTTATAACAGTGTCCCTGTTAAAGTTTAATTCCTATCTTGGACCAGATGATCTGCCTTTCCTTTGCGCGCAAAAATTCTCTTTCTTAGGACAATTGAGCACTTGCATTCAGTATGCATTCATTTGGTCATTCTGGCTTTCTAAAATTATATATTCCTAGCTTCTAAAAGCTGCAAACATGGTAGTGCTGCTTCATGTTTCAAGTTTAGTTCTGTCTTTACGATGCATCATCATTCCTAGTTTCTCTTCCTCTCAGATAGTCTTGTTTTTTAACTGTAATTCAAGCTTTGCTTAATCGATTGGTCATAAAGTCCTTGCCATAATTTTGTTTGACTAATTCAGTTGCTGAATTAGCCTTAAAGTTACATGCACTCTTGCTGGTCATCACTTCTCTAGTAAAATTAGGAATCTAGCACCATGTGTTCCTCCGGGCAATCAAGTAATTTTCAAAGTGTGAGCCATGTCAGATTTTATGTCTGAAGCAAAATTCACTTAAGATTGCCCCCACCCCCAAGTTGAGCAACCAGAATACAGGTTACATGTTCCTGTCTCTTTTCTGTGAAGGAGGCTGCCCCGCTTTTATTTCTTCAGAATGTGAGAGAAACCTTGGAAGAGAAGCCTCTACCGTTCCATTTCCCCATGACTGTGAGCCTGTCACTGTCCCTTTTAACACAATACTGTGGTTTTTATACATGGTAGTGGAGATAGGATTATCTAGCCTCTGGCCTTGCTAGTGTGGCCTTTTTGTCTGTCCAGCCTATTTCCTTCAATACAGTCAGAAAGTCCCTTTCTGCATTGTTGTTTTTTTTTTTTACTCTGTTTAATATGTATTCCTTTTATCAGAGCTCAGATTTCTTTCCTGAGTGGGCAAAGTAAGATAAAATACCATCCAAGTTGTCTTTTCTTTCTTATTAAAACACAAAAGCCAGGAGCTGAAAAGTAATTCTGTCTCTATCATGTGCAGCCCCTGTGTTCACTGGATGAGTTGGCATGACATCTACCATACACATAAATCTGTATCCATAATAAATGATCATGCCACATTTTTCACCCATATAAGTCTTTTTGTTTAGGTTTGACATTCAATCCCTTTGGCTGATTCTCTGACCGCATGTATAGGGGAAGGGAATGTGGATGAGAGCATGGGTGATTTACCACATTCCTTTAATTTTTTTCTCCATCTGTACTTCTGAAAGCTTGGTTATGAATTTGGTATTTTGAATGATTCCTAGGAGGAAAAATTTGCTTTTCATTTTGTGGAATTACATTTGCTTCAAGCTCAGCAACTACCCTCCCATTCTAAGTTTGTGTGTGTTGCAATTTTGTAGTGATTACCAGAAATTTACTGTTACCTTCATCTTAAATTATTTTTTAATTTAAAGTAGAGATTATAACAGCTACTGTATTGTAATGGTTTCAGGACACAATATAAAGGAAATAGTATATGGTACAATTATGTCTTATATCGTAATTTGTTCTGTTCTATGATTGTACCTCTTTGAGGATATTTTCCATTCTTTTTGCTGTAAAAATTGCAATTAAATCTTTGTTATAATAATTTTCAAGTGATTTGGAATTCTTCTCTTAAACAGTTTGCTTTTAAAAATCTCTGAGTTTATAGAATGATTTGAAGCCATTTCTTCAGGTATTTTATCTGGCTGTTTGTACATGCTTGGATTGTAGGTTTCCTGTAGATGGAATCCCTGCATTTAATACTTAGCCTTTGAAAATAATTCCTCCTGTGGGCTCTGGTGCCACCTGAAAGTATTTATACTTCCAGGCCATTGTCAGCTTGTCCGTAGAGGACACAAGTACAGAACAAGGCTCTGCCACTTCTAGCCCTGTGACTCAACAGTAGTTACTAATCTTTGTGTCCCATTTGTTATTTTTTCCGTAGCTCTCTCTTTATCCTGTATCCTGCTCCTTTTTCAGCATTCTCCAGATCACTGCTCGCTCTTACCATGTCTTCCGTTGGAAGGGCTTGTTTGGTTTGTCCCAGTCCCCTCCCCCTCCCCCGTTCCAAGCTTTGCTATAACACTTCCTGTAAATTACCAGTTTGTTTACAATTGTTTTTCTCCCCAGTTAATGAAGACTTTGGTATAGTAAAATGACTTGTCCAGAGTCTCTGTGTTCCTCTGGTGTGCACTCAAACATCTCTTTAGTGTTGCTGTGTCCTCTCTGTGTGATGCAGAAAGATCAGCTTTCTAAAAGAAAAGACTATGCAAACCTTGCTGCTCTCTTTTTGTTAAGTGGGTGAAGCTAGTTAAAGTGTTGGAAACTTTGTTTTAAGGTTTAAAATGGCGTTTTGGTTGACATTAGACACTGAAACAAGTAAACAGGAGCTGAAGTAAGCAAGACCGTGGGGGTGAGTATGGTTGTTTGTTTTGTGTGTGTGAGATCAATTCTAGTCTTGAAAAATCTACCATTTCCTCTTTCCAAATGGAATAAAATACATTTTCCCCTTCCGGTACAAAGCCAGACCCTGCTCTCCTTTCTGAGAATTCTGTACTGTTTTTATCATTGTACAATTTTAGAAAAGTTAAGAAAATACTAGAATTTTTATAAGAGCTGTGTTCAAGCTAATGAATTTGGAGACCTACTGTCCACAGTTTGAAAACTTCATGTATCTATCTTGTTTGTATCTAAATGAGTATTATTGTGATTTATCACATTGTCTCTCTATGAAATATTGAAACTGGATCTTCTTTGTTAGAGGGAGTAACAACAGATTAAGAGCAATTCATGTAGCAAGTTCTGCAGAAGTGGGATTTGAACTTACAAATTTGGGGGTTTTAGGCCTGTTCAGGGTGCTAGAGGTCAGGATGTTATAATGTATCTCAGCATAGCTTTACCTATGTTTGAAGTGTTCTCTGGGAATCCAGTACATCTCTTTCTGATTCGTGTCCGATTGGCTAGTATTGATCTCAGTACAATGGACAGTAAATCTGACCACACAAAGAAGATAAAATAGTAGAACATAGATTCAAAACTTAAGATACACGATTAGAGATTATTCATATAACCTCCAGGTATGAAGTTTTAGCCTAAAACTTTAGAAACGTAGAAAGAAATAAAATGGAGTTACAGTTCCATCCATTTTGATCAGTAGAGTTCCTAGGATAGTATAGCAGTGACTTGGTCCTATGAAGGGTGTGTTCCCTGTTGCAAAGATGCAAAAGAACCTGGCAGGGGAAGTGGACATGTGTGATAACTTAAAGATTAATCAGAATTCAGAGGTTTCTGCTGAAAAATTTTACAGGCCTGTAAATTTAAATGTAGAATTTCTGTAGGCAGTATGCATTGACAAATATGTTTAATGGTAATACATCTAGTACTGAGAGTCCCAGAACAGGTCAATAATAATGTGTATATTGATAGCAGTATTGGAGGAGATGTTACTTGGTATTATAGCTAAAATCTATGTTATCCTCTTAATCATAATTACATTAATATTGACAGGCCCTTGACAATACCCACATTATTATTGATAGATTTCTGTCAATAACGTGTTTTTAAATAAAATATAGTCATTCAAAATTTGCACCACACTCAATAAAAGCTTTAAAGTACATCCCGAAAATTTCCTTCTTCTTCAATGAGATAAAATCATTTGTTATGTTTTAATGTGATGTTGATGATAAAGGTTTTATTTTTGGCAGTGAAAATAAAAAAGAAAACAGGAGTCATTTAAGGCATATGGTTATATGTTGCTGCTCTTCCAAAGCCTATTTTCAGGATTTTTTTTTTTTTTAATCTGAAAGAAAAGCCGTGTGGCATGTTCCCTGATAAAATTTCAGCAGGGGACCCTTTTAACAGTTTTTAGTGTTGGGTCATTTAGTCTTAAACATATTTATTTGACAACTTAGTTTTAATTACCTTAATGCTATTAGGTATTAGGCTTTTTATTTGCTCCTAACTTTGCCTTCAGCATCTTTCCCATGTATCCTTAAAATACTAGAATCTGTCTCTAATGTTAATATGTATATCACAGATTATAATTTTAATCACTTTAATGTGACTATTTGCTTGGATAATAATTTTTTTTAAGTTTAGCATGATTTAGAAAGTGGGGGAGACATGTATCAGGTTGGGTATTAAAAGGTGGAATAGGATGAAACTTGCCTGGGCATTTTGAAAAATATCAATCTATTATTATTTTAATTCAGAATAATTTTAGTTTTCAGGAGCAAAAAGATCGACAGATTGACTT